GCTTTCTCTTTGCTTGCACCTGATATTCCAATTTTCTTTTTATATATTTTTCTTTTTAAAATTTTTCTGTTGGGTTTTGAATGTCAGATAATTAATAGGAACCAGTGAGAGTGTACAAACATCAGTAGTTTCTAAAAATAGGTCTGCAATGCCTCACGTTTTTAATTTGCCGCAACTGCCACAATAAATTTTCCGGCATTTTAGGTAAATGTGAAATACAGAAAGAAAAATAATAGAGAAAGAACTGGCAGTTTAATATCCATTTTGGATAGGCCGGTGTTCATACATTAATCATGATGAATATTGATTTTTTGCAATTTGTATAGCATACGTTACCAATTTTAGATAGTATTAATTATAAATTTTATATGGATTTAAGCTATACTACGTATATTTTTAGTCAGAAACATATTTGTTCATTCATAGGCCCAGAACCCTTCTGCAGCGCTGTTTTTATCAAATCCCTGAGACTCTATGATAAGTTATAACTCAAGTTATAATTATTAGCGGTGATTAACTTTCTTCCTCTTATACAATTTACAATATACAATAGATTAATTAAAATCAGAAAGACAGTAAAGTATTGCTTGTAGTGTATATGACCTTAAGTTTTTAATGGTTTATTGCACTCATCAGAGGCATTTAAATTAAGTTATTAATTAAGCACAAATAATTCTGACTACAGCCGTTTTTCTAAAGATATACGACCATCAAGATCTGAAAACATATGTAGATGATTTCTTTTCTTGTAGTACCTATTTAAACTTGTCTTATGTTTGCTATACATTTATAAATAGTCTATCCTATAACTAAATAAACTTATTGTATGTTATTAATCATTCAGCTAGGATAGCTTGATTTTTAGTACGGTCGTTCTACTAAAGGTATAAGGTCATCCACATCTGAAGACATAATAGGTAGATGAATTCTTGTAGTACAAACATAAAAGTGTCTAGTGTGAAACGTATATATAATCTCTTAACAATATTTCAAAAACTATGAAAGCTTGACAAGCAATACCCATAGAACAGAACGCTGTATATAAAATAATACTGGCAAAAGAACGTTGTGGTGCTTTGAAACCACACATAGTGTAGGTTAAAGAAAAAAATTATAGAAAACACAATTACTTTATAAAAATGAGTTTTTATTTTTAAAATTACATTAAATTTATACAAATAGTTGATCAGAAAAACTATAAATATTTGAAATTTTTAAGTTAAACATACTATTTATGTATTTTCTTAATTCTTAAGATGTATGTTTTGATATAAAACATCTCTAAAAAAGCATTAACAGTATAAAGAGTAGAAAGTAAACATGTGTGTGGAAAAAAATTAAAGGGATCTTTATTAAGTGAGGATTTTTATATAATCTGTTAAATTATAAACATTATTTCTTGAAAAGAATTAAAAGAAGAAGCAAAATCGCTAGAAAAAACTAAGAGTTTATGAATAGCTGTATTAAAGTATTTTAAATAGTTTTTCTCTTTGTTCTTGTATTTTTTTGGTTTTTGATAATGGAAGGAGATGCCTATTAGAATTTTTATTTTGTTAGGCAAAATAACACAGTGGTGTTTAACTTTTCTATTGAAAAAACTTTTGAAATATTTTTTCTACTTCGTAGATTATTTCTAGTGACAAAAAACAAGATTCTTTTATAGAAATGAACCACCTAGAAATGTATCGATATTATTGATAAACATTATAAGTTTTATAATTTTAAATAAAATATCGACAAATGGAACAATTTCATTACCTACATTTTAGGACTTTTAAAAATCTTTATGAACATAATATAACCAAAATGTAACTTTATCTTCTTATTTACAAAATATTACATTTTTTAGTAACATATATTACACAAATCTCACAAAATAGACGTTTTACATTACTGAATTGGCGAAGAACCATTTCTAGAAGGAAATATAAAGCTGAAATATATTTATTTCTAAAATCCCTTCAGCCGGAAAAGTTTTGAATTTCGTTTAAGATTTAAGCTAACACAGCACGTACCTTATCTAATCTACTTTACCATTTTTTCTTTGGGCTCTGGGATAAAATGGTACAGCAAATTCAAGATTCTATATCAAATCTTCTTTTTGTAATACATTATATAAGAAAATGGGAATAAATACTTCTATTAACAAAACAGGGTTAGGTACTTTTTACATATATCTTATAAAAAATCGGAAATATTTTAACAATTATAACTTATTTTATACCTTAGTCACCTTAATGTTTACAATTTATTTATGTAATTCTAATAATATTGAATATTTTTTCATATGCATTTTTATCATAACTTTTCTGTCTATTATTTACATGTTCTATTATTTCTTCTAATTACTATTTTTCTAATTCTACTAGTCAATGTACAATTGTCATGTTCTTAACAGTTTATAAATTATGTATTAAATATAGTATATCGTCTACTACAATTTTAAGATATAAATTTTAAACATTCTGGTATTATACATTTCAAAAAATTTACAATATTAATGTAAGAGCATTACATTAATGTAAGGATCATAGTTAAAATAATTCTACATCTATAAAATTTTATATATTAATTGAATTTAGTATGTAAACATCTCACAGCCATTTTATATGTACCACAGACCAGAATTGTTTTACAAAACCTTACTAAATATACAAGGTGAGTCCTAAACAAGTGCAAATATTTAAGGGCGTGGTATATTTCAACCCCAAAAACATGATTATGAAGTGTTTCTCGCAAAAAAAAATTGAAAATTTTGCAATTTTCAAAAAAAAATCGATTTTTTTTTAATTTTGAGTTAAAAGTCACAATATCTTAATAATACAGCAACATGGTAGTCGATTAAATGTAGAAGAACGAAAACCCAGAGCTCAAAATTTGTGCAAAAAATATATACAGGGTGGTCCGAACTGTATACCAGAAACTTCGGCAGCATATTTTACTGATAAAAATAAATAAAAAAGTTCATATAAATGTATGTCCTAAAATACTTAGTTTCGGAGATACAGGGTGGAGAAATTTCATTTTTATTTCGATTTTTTTCTAATAATTTCTGAAGTAACGTCAATATTTGGATGAAAATTGTTGTCTGGGAGTTTTTTGATATGATAAATTTGATTTCGATGTCAACATGACTCCTATTTGTAGGGGGCGCCACCTACATGTGTTTTAACTGCTTTAAAGAGTAATAACTTTTTGTTCGTACCTGTATAAAACTACTGAGTAAATAAATATAGATTTCCGGTATTTTCTACGTAAAAAATGTCTCTTGGTAAAAATCGCTACGAGCAACCCTTCACAAGATATTTACATTGGAAATAGTCAATACATGTCCTTATTGACTAAAAATAAACATGTTAAGTAGATAGTCATTTGACTGAAATGAGAACTAACTGGTTTTATACAGGTATGGACGAAAAGTTATTACTCTTCAAACCAGTTAAAAAAATACGTAGGTGGCGCCCTATACAAATAGGAGCCATATTGACATCGAAATCAAATTTCTCATGTCAAAAAACTCCCAGACACCAATTTTTGTCCAAATATTGACGTTGCTTCAGAAATTATTTGGAACTAATCGAAATAAAAATGAAACTTCTACACCCTGTATCTCCGAAACTAAGCATTTTAGGACATACATTTATAAGAACTTTTTTACTTATTTTTATCTGCAGAATATGTTGCCGAAGTTTCCGGAATACAGTTCGGACCACCCTGTATATATTTAATTTTCAAATTAAAATATCTGGATTATTTTGACTTATTTGAAAAATGGTAAATAGCAAATATGTTACTTTTATCTAGATGTATTAGCCCTCAAAATTATTAACACTTATTTAAGACTCCTCCTGTATAACAAATATATTTCAATAACTTTTATACAATATGATATTAAAATTTCATATGTATGACAATTTGTATCTAATACTAAAAATGGCATGTTTTTATAATAACAAATACACTGCTTTATATTATATTCCATTTTATAATGTCACATAGTACCGTGTTATATTTCGATAAATTCAGCTTTTTGCAAAAAAATGCCATAAATATTCTTTGACACTTTTGTAGCATACCTATAGCACGCAAGAAGTAGAAAAAATGTATATCTTTTTATAAAAGATTTATTTGAGTTTGAAAGAATGTCTTCGAAATCGTTTCAGCATATCACAGTTTAAAAAAAATATATGATGTATATTTTTCCAAAAGTAATATATTGGAATATTTTGTAATATATTTACTTTTCCAAATCTGTAAAAAAGGTATAGAAGATTGAGTTTTTGTATTCTTTTATCAAAATAGAAAACAAATCGACAAAATATAAATATGTGTCTGTAGATTTCAATACAAATATTCTATAACCGTTTTTTATATTTATAGCTAGATAACATAAAATAGGTTAGTCAGTTTGAACGTTATAAATATAATACGATCGAAAAAATCGCGTCAGAGATGGCTTGGAAATTTAGATCTCTAGCATTTTGTGTGCAAAATTAATTGGGAGATATCATCGGTCGTCATTCCAAGCCTACTGAACGACGTATTTCGATCGAGTATTATTATACATGGTAAGTCAGGTATGTGGTCAATAAATCTCTAGAATGATGAAAGAAATGCATCAGAATCAGGCAAAAAAGGTCTTAGTAGACGGATTTGCTAAAATTCACGGCAGACCTGATAAGCAAACACAGAAAGACTGACAGTCAAAGATGTAGTGGGTCTACTAACAGAGCATTGTAAGCTGAATAGGTCTCTAGAGCTAATGGGATTGACGGACAATGCCATGTGCTGGTTTTATCAATTTGAAGAAGAAACGACAAAACACATTTTAACTTTGTACTAGCCATTGACAAAGAGCTATATGGAGAGTTCAGACTCAGCTCAGAAAGTTGCTAGACTTTTTGAAAAGGATAGGAGAATGTAACCTAAGGATCAGAAGAGGCCTAAAAATGCGGTTAGCCACCTCTAAGAATCTTATCTATTTTAATATTCCAATTTACTTGTAACAATGTTATACAATACTAGATTATATGAAAAGTGTTTAATATGCTGTTATATTATGAATTGTCTTATAAAAAGGAATATAATTTAATAAGAATATATTTGATTTAGGTATTTTGAGTAACTTATAAGTAAATATAACAAATTATAGATTAAAATTAACAATTACTATACATCTGTCAAATGTCAATTTTCAACTAGATGTGTTTCAAATATTCCTACCAAAAACAGTTTTGTTTTCTACAATAATTTACGACGTATAGATTTTGTCGTGATATTCTTTATACATTTAATTGTATCTACTAATTTTAGTGAGGATGCAGTCAATAATCACCACATAGGCTAATAAAACTACTTTTCAATATTTCAAGCTTTCGAGAAATATATTCCCATTATCAGGACCGTTTGATGAGTTAATTCACAGTCAGTAAGGCTTTACAGACTTACATCATTGAACATTGGAATCACAAAGAATTTTCTTTATAAAAATATTCAAAACATGCACATCTTAATACATTTTATTTAAACAATTACTCAAAAAAAATTGCTACATTGTTGTTCCGAGCACAATCAGACAGGAACTGTTTAATGCAGTTCCAAAATGGACTAAACATCCTCACTAAAATTAGTAGTTTTTTTCTTAACTTAGTCAATCACGACTAAACCTACTGTTTTTTAATTGTATTAGTAAACGTTTGTTGAAGAGAATTACAAACAATTATATTAGTTATAAAAGATAGTAGTTCATATAAAATACAACAGAGTACTATATACACTTCTATATTATACAGTGGACATTTTTGTGTCTCCCCTAGTCTCTTCCATAGAAATTTGTCTGCTCTGTGGATGGATCCATTGCACAAAGTAGTGGACGTGGAACAATTCTTTGAATGTTTCTCTGAACTGTCGTGACATTGTGCAGTACAAGATAAAGTTGATGGAAGAGTTAATCAGGGCTACTATATCCATTACATCACCTAAAAGAAACAGCAATATTATAATACAATGTAATAATTTGGTTTATATTAAGGAACTGTTTGATAATTGAACAGTTTTCCCATAAAGCTCCATATCAGGTTTGCGTTTGTTCATTAAATAATAAAAATTAGAGTTTGGACATTTTATGTAAAATGAAATTGTACACTAAAGAAAGAAAAAAATACGATGAAGGACATTCAAGTACAAGGTGTCCTATTTTTGAGTGTTTTTTGGGATTTCTCGTTTAGAAGTAGACATAGAAAGATGCGGTTTTCACATCACTATGCTACTTTTTATAAAACTAAATAGGCTAGACACAGACTTTTCCTAGTCTTCTTAGTTTAGGAAATACAGGGCGAATTTTAGAATATTGCATTTTTCGACTACCTTAGTATCTCGGTTACCTGGTGTGTCCCGTAAGATTCTCAATTCAGATTCTCAAACCGACGTTTTGTTTTTGAGCTGCTATCATCAACTATTCTATTTTCACTTCTATTTTTTAACATAAGTAAAGTTTAAAAACAAGCAAAAAATAATTATATACCAAAAATTGGAGGCTTTTTGGTTTTACCAAAGTTACGAAAAAACAAGTAATTGTTATCAGGTAGTAATTGTTAATTTTGAAATTTGGCTTGATATAATGTCATACATATGCCATTTTAATACAACCCTAAATACAACGCATAGTAATTATTGTATTTGGATATATTAAATAGTTTGTTCTTTGTCCTTTGTTTTTTTTGCTTCCTACGACTTGAGGAAATGTACCTCACAAAATGTTAGGCATTTTTTGTCCATTAGGAAACTTTGGTTTATTAGTAATATACCGCTATCAAATTTGTCTTCGTTGGATCAACGCAGCGGTATTTTTGAAAAATAACTTTTTTTTGTTCTAGTGACGAATTAATACTCGTTGCAGATATCACTTTATATCACATTTGTATGCTATTACGGTAAATTCACTTAGTTATTTTGAAACGAAATGCATAAAATGAACCAAAAAAGTTGAAAAAAAGTTAAAATGATTACATCGCTCAGAATTTAAACTCCCATTAAAACTACGAAAGCGCCATGTTATTAATTTTACTTTTCTATAAGTTGGGGAGACATTAATGCTAGATGACAGTTGCCCGTAAAAAGTATTTCCGACATAAAAATTCTATTACTTTAAAATGAACGAAATAATTAGATTTTAAAAGATTTTCTCTAATATGTTTCAACATCATGTAATGGCAAATACGTATGTTATTATAAAAATTTAATGAATGTAGCAGAACTTGTATTTGACAAGTTTATTAAAAGTGATAGATCATGTTGTGCACTACGTACATAGTGTGATATTTTATTAAATGTAATTATATTTTAGCGCTTCTGGGAATTCTTCAGCTAATAAAACTAGAAAGTATAATTAGTTATAGCTGTTCTGATGTTATATTTTTGTGTCAGTAACAGATGATTGGGTAAATGTATTCCTAAGTATCACCATAAAACTAGTCAGTTTAGGGGTTAGTTAAAACAGTTAGTTTAAATAAATCTCTACTTATACTACAGTGAGTGTCCCATTTTCGTGTGTTTTATGGGGTCTCTCGTTTATGAGTAAAGATACGATGATGCGGTTTTGACATCATTGTTCTGCTCTTTTATGACACTAAAGATGCTACACACAGATTTTTTGTCCTAACTTTGTTACTTTCTGAAATAAAGGGCAAAATCTTATAACTTATAGAATTCACTTAGAGAAAATTTGAAAACTGAATCCCATAGAGTTTTTTTATGGAGAATCCAGTGGCGTAACTAGATTTTCGCTGGGAGCTGTCATTCTTAGAATATTATGCAAATTTGTATTGTTTTTTTTGGTACACCCTGTATATGATTTTTATTTTATTTGGCCATGATATGAGCTTTCTAAAAATATAATACACTCTATACTTATTTATTATTTTTGAAAACAATGTAAAAATGCGTTATTTAACTTTTTAACAGAGGCTGCCGATGCCGCATGCCGGCTTAAATCAAAACAATCGAATAATTTATTCGACGACAAATTTTGGTTTGAGGTCAGATGTAAATAAATATTTTAAAGACTTAATACATTAATTATTATTTATTGATATTTTTTTCGACCATTAACTTGGTCTTTTTCATAATGAATCTTCTACTTGTTCCATCCTGAAAGTAGATTTGTTATTTTTTGTTAAAACTTAATCCTAATTTTTAAAAGTCAACAAAACATGCACACACAGAAAACATATATACAGGTACATCATTGAATTTAACTATTTATTAGAGCAGTATTTACTTAAAATATATTTCATAAGGTCAAAGAAGAATTGAAACTAAAATTCATATAAATTTATATTACTATTTATATATTGCACTAAAAACATCAATAACTCTGATTAACAGAATGTTATCTAAAAGCTGCATAAATTTATTTTCAGTTAGTTTATTACGATACACGATAGAAAGCAAAATTATCAGGTTAAATTAAATTAAATAAAATGCCCTTTTAAACTAGGTTTATTTATGTATAAAAAATTATAAAAAGTTAAAAATGCATTTTTTACCTTATCTATGAAAATAAGTAAGGAATTCTTAATTAGTAATTATGTTTTTAGAAATCTCATGACAAGACAAATAAAAAATATTATACAGGGTCCCATTTAAAAACACTTAAATTTGACTTATATTTCCAAAATGATAACTCCGAGCGAAAAACTAGTTACGCCACTGGATTCTACTTGAAAACCTCAACGGAACACAGTTTTTACCTTTTCGGCAAGTTATAAAGTAACTAAAAACTTTCCACGAAGGGGATCAAGCAATACAAAATTCGCCCTGTATTTCCGGAACTAAAAAGGCTATGATAAACCTGTAAGTAGCATCTTTAGTTTCATAAAAAAGTAGCATAGTGATGTGAATTTTTGTACCGTATCTTTGCACCTGTACTCGTAAACAAAAAACTCCATAAAATACACAAAAATAGGACTTGGACACCCTGTACAAAACAAACTCTGTACTATCTCTAAAATATATTTACCTAGAGCAGCGTAACATTCTTCCAGAAACACATTTCCATACATCGCGCTTATCTGTCCCACAATAGCTTGAGGGAACTCCGTCAAAAGAAAAAGGAATAAAACAGCCAATAGCATCCTCGTAGTCCTGTCAGATTGGCTCTCCTTGTACAACTGGATCGATCCTGTTTTCCCATCAATATCCCCTCTATTAGAACTGGAAAGCAACATAAGTCTTCTTCGGCGAGTTTCAACCAGCACTGCTATAATCTTGCAGGATAATATAGTTAAAAGCACACAAGGACCGAGTTTTAACAACAAACTATAAATCCATATGCTTACGAAGTAGGGATCGTTTGGATGGACGAAAAATATAGTCTCGTTTTTAAGTAAACTTTGGTTGTATTTGTGTTTGTCTTCTTTATTGACTATTACACCGTACAAGTCACATGTTTGTTGATGTTTCATTATCTCCAGAGTAGAGAACATGGGAATACAAATAACAGGACATATTAAGTAAGTTAGAAGAACAACTACAGAAGTTTTTTTCTTGTCAGTAAAAATTTCACTGGCGTGAACTTGTGATACAAAAGCGTACCTCCATACAGCCAAAATAACAGTGAGGCTACAAGCGATAAAGTGCAGAATTAAGGTGAACAGAGAATGAAACTTATAAAAAACTGCCCAGCAGTAACTGTAATGAGTGTACCTCACAGGCAATGAATGTAAGTTTCTGTGAATGGTAAAAGGAATATACTGTAGCATTACCAGCAGGTCAGCTACAGCTAATCCTGTGAGGATTAGGTTGGTAGCTGATCGCATGTGTTTGGTTTTCAGGACGCATATGTTGAAGATGTTGGCTATGGAGCCTAGGATGCAGACTGTAAGGCTTAGGTAACCATGGATGTTTTCTTTGTAGTTTTTTCTGAAGTCCTCTAAGTCACAGTAAGTGTAGTTTCTCATGGTTGTTGGTGAGAAAGGTCCATTATATTTTGCGTATGTGACTGAGCATCGTCTGAAAAAAAAAACATTTTGTACAGGGTGTCATATATTCGAGCCTTATCACTGGGATCTCGGAAGCGAGAAGAGATACGAAGTGGATTAAAGATAATATAATTTGGTGCTGTTTCAAATACACCCTTAAATGTTCAAAAAATCCGATAATTGTAATGTGTGTAAGATTTTTGGAAAAAAACGAATATTCACGATTTTATTTTTATTTTCTTTTTATCAACTACTTTATCAATTTTTTTTGAATAATAATAACATATCTCGCGGAAGAAAAAAGTAGCTATAACAATGCGGAATTTATTTTGCAATACCTATTCAATGATAATATATTAAAATAAAAAAAGAGTCATAAAAAATGAAAATGAAATCGTGATATTATTTGTTTGCTTTCGAAAAATCTTGGAAAGTATTAGGAATTCTTAAACTTTTAATGTGGTATTTGATCAGCATTAACCTAATCTCGTATATCTTCTAGTTTTCGAGATCCCAACAGTAAGGCTTGAATCTGTGACATCCTGTATATTATAATTGGGGTTGGACTGTCATTCGTCAGTCGTTTTTAATGCTTATCGTATGGTATTACACAACCAAATATGGGTTTAAAAAAGAAAACACTATTTTTTTTCGTTCAGAAAATTTATTTAATTTTTTTAAAAATTAATTTTTTTATAGTATATATAAAATAATCTCCTTAACCATATATTCAGGTTTAAAAAAATCTTCTTTTTATCCTCTTAGAATCGTTCTAAACTCAAAGTATTGATTTTACTATCTTCAGCACAACTGGAAAATATATTCTATTCTGTTATTCCTAAAAATAAAAACAGGAATGTGTGTTTATGAGAAGCACAAAACATAAATTAAATAAAACTGCACTTGAACCAAATATGTTTGTCATAAAAAAGAGATTGAGAGCATTCGTCTATAAAAGTACTAGAAATAAATTTATAAAACAACTTTAGTAAATCAAATTAACATTAGACTTAGATCACAAAAAGACTGCTGTTTTTTTCTCCACTACAATAAAATCTACAACATAAAATCGTTATCATTTGAAAACACCACTGCGTTGATTCAACAGAGACCAATTTATCAGTGGTATTTTCCTAATATAACAAGTTTTCCTAAAAATGCTTAACGTTCCAGAAGGTATATCTCCTCCCGTCGTCAGAAGCAGAAAAAAAAACACAAAGAACGAAGAAAAAAAACAAAAAATATAGTAGTATATTTTTCAAAGAAATTTTTAAGATTTTTTTAGCAGATACATTTATTAAAAACCGTTTGCCTTCTTAGTTTTCAAAACATAACTTTTTTATTTTGCAGATTTTCTTATAGTGGCAAAAAAGTATTTTCAAGAAATTGAACCCACACAAAGCTAGAGACATTCATTACACTTATACAGGGTTGTTCACCACATACGACACAGAGTATTGTAGCTAAACGATTAAACTTTTACAAATTGTAAGTTTTGGGTTCGTTGAAGGACTATTAGAGGTACAATTTAAAAATATTTTTACAAGATACATAGTGTCCTAAATAAATAAAAAATATATATAATAATAATAATACTACCTTATACAGAATGTCTAAAAATGTATTTTAAATAATTTCTAGATTTAAACGGCAATAACTTGTTTAATTTAAATGGAACGCCCTGTATATTTTAGGAGAATCAGATGCACAATTTAATTGTCTATCAAATTGTATTATACCACTTTTTACCTATCCCTTCAAGTTTTCCTAAAAATGCATTTTCTTATACCCATGGAATATTGACATTTTAGGTTGTTTTTAAAGTAACAAATGCGCAAAATGTACAGGCTAGTAATATTATCGTTTTCATCAAAACGATAATATTACTAGCCCATTTGTATGCAAAAAAAACTATTTAAATCTTTAAAAAAGAGTATACCATTAATTAAATATACCACCATTATTTCCGCCCAAATACTAATTAATTAAATACTTAATTGTGTTAGTTAATAAATTATTTTAAATAAATGTGGATTTTAATCAGAAATCAATATAATAATAAGTTATGAAAATGAACGTCTCTGTTGTTATAAATAAGCATTTGTCAAAAAATGAAATATCATTTTTAAGGTGTTACTTTTTATCACACTGCCTAATACACATACAAAATTCATCTTTTTAATATTTAGAGCAATTATTATTAATCAACGAAACAGTCAATTAATGTAGTTAGAATACTGGAATCATATTAATTGATCCTCTTTAACAAATATTTAAACATTTTTTTATTTTTTAATGAAATAAACGAACCATATCGACAACATTAGTACTCTTTAAAAATTTGGTCCATTTTTAAAATACTCTAAAATGTCAGTATTCCATGGGTATATTGATAAACGAGTTCTAAATTACAAGAAAATGTATTTTCTACGAAAACTTCAAGAGATAGATAAAATATAGTATAATACAATTTGATAGACAATTAAATTGTGCATCTGATTCTCATAAAATATACAGGGTGTTCCATTTAAATTAAACAAGTTATTGCCGTTTAAAGCTAGTAAATATTTAAAATACATTTTTAGACACTCTGTATAAGGTAGTATAATTTTTATTATTGCAACACAATAACTGATCCATAAATAAACTTCACGAAATATTTAGTATTAAAAACTTTGGTACCCTTGGAGAAATGAAGCCTTAAAATTTTTACTGCAATTTCACAAAATTGAAAATATTTCAAAAACGGTAAGGTTTAAGTATAATAAACCTTAATCAAATTTATCGGTGTTCCATTTAAAAAAATACAACTTTGATATTTTTTATTTATTTGGGACACTCTGTATCTTGTAAAAATATTTTTAAATTGTAGCTCTAATAGTCCTTCAACGAACCCAAAACTTACAATTTGTCAAAATCTAATCGCTTAGCTACAATACTCCGTGTCGTATGTGGTGAACAACCCTGTATACATACTATTTCTTTAATTTTCTTATATATCCTTGCTTTAAATCAAATCCCTTTTTAAACACACTATTTCTCATTATTCCGAGTTTGAGTTTCACTATTGCAAATATTATTTCTGTCCGGCATCATTTGACAGTTACAATTAAATTTCGGAGCTATACAATTCAGTAGTAAACCTTCTAAAAATGTTGATCTACATTACAATAAACCAAAAAAATTGATAGTACTATATACCTCCAGTTTGCAGAAATGTACCCAGGCATAATCCAAACAAACCAATTTGAATTTGTCCACTATCTGGTTCATTATTATTTCTTCCCCTGTTTACACAACTGAAAGTTAAGTTGTTACCTTCGCTTCTTACATAGTCACTGTTTAAATTTCTTGATGCACTTTTAGGTATATTATTTGCACTGTAAGTATTCATGTTCATATCCAAACCGTGAGTATCAACTGACTTATCTGCTAAATCAACACAAGCATTGCATACATTGCATATTCTTCGAGTTGCCATGTTAGCCTGTGAATATTTTTCAGGATATTCGTTATCTCTTTCATTGATACAACTATATTTGTTTGAATCGCTTTCTGAACTAGGTGCTCTATCACGAGTTGATGCTAAAGATGGAGTTATTTTCTTAGAACTGGCTTGCCTAATAGTTAAGTCAGAAGACTCTTTCAGCTTTGGTTTGCTGGAAGAAGAATATTTTGGCACTGATACACCAGATAAAAGTTTTGATGATTTGCTTTTTGGATCTTCTCTAAGTGAATTCGATACAGAAGATTTTACACTATAATCTCTAATACTTGAAGCATTAGCACTACGTATGCTCCTAGCTGATATGTTTTTCGAACCAATCTTTGCACTACTGGTACCTTTTATTTCATCTCCAGATTCCTCTACTAAATTAAACTCATCTTCTGGAATATCCTCAAAAGTATTACTTTTTGATTTATTGACACTAGGTTCTCTAATACTTGAAGCATTAGCACTACGAATGCTCCTAGCTGATATGTTTTTCGAACCAATCTTTGCACTACTGGTACCTTTTATTTCATCTCCAGATTCCTCTACTAAATCAGACTCATCTCCTAGAATATCCTCATAAGTATTACTTTTTGATTTATTGACACTAGGTTCTCTAATACTTGAAGCATTAGCACTACGTATGCTCCTAGCTGATATGTTTTTCGAACCAATCTTTGGACTACTGGTACCTTTTATTTCATCTCCAGATTCTTCTACTAAATCAGACTCAACTTCTGGAATATCCTCATAAGTATTACTTTTTGATTTATTGACACTAGGTTCTCTAATACTTGAAGCATTAGCACTACGTATGCTCCTAGCTGATATGATTTTTGAACCAATCTTTGCACTACTGGTACCTTTTATTTCATCTCCAGATTCCTCTACTAAATTAGACTCATCCTCTGAAATATCCTCAAAAGTATTACTTTTTGATTTATTGACACTAGGTTCTCTAATACTTGAAGCATTAGCACTACGTATGCTCCTAGCTGATATGATTTTTGAACCAACCTTTGCACTACTGGTACCTTTTATTTCATCTCCAGATTGCTCTACTAAATTAGACTCATCCTCTGGAATATCCTCAAAAGTATTACTTTTTGATTTATTGACACTAGGTTCTCTAATACTTGAAGCATTAGCACTACGTATGCTCCTAGCTGATATGATTTTTGAACCAATCTTTGCACTACTGGTACCTTTTATTTCATGTCCAGATTCCTCTACTAAATCAGACTCATCTTCTGGAATATCCTCATAAGTATTACTTTTTGATTTATTGACACTAGGTTCTCTAATACTTGAAGCATTAGCACTACGTATGCTCCTAGCTGATATGTTTTTCGAACCAATCTTTACACTACTGGTACCTTTTATTTCATCTCCAGATTCCTCTACTAAATTAGACTCATCTTCTGGAATATCCTCAAAAGTATTACTTTTTGATTTATTGACACTAGGTTCTCTAATACTTGAAGCATTAGCACTACGTATGCTCCTAGCTGATATGTTTTTCGAACCAATCTTTGCACTACTTGCAACATTCATTTCAACCCCAGATTCTTCTTCTAATCCTGAATATTCTTCTGGAATATTTTCGGAAGTTTTACTTTTTGATTTGCTAGGAATTCTAGAATTTGAATTTTCTTGAACTGGCTGTTTAATTTTAACTATTGAACAAGCTCCTGTAGACTCTAAAGAATTGTGAAGGCTGTTTTGTGACCTACCGTTTGTATTAGCAAGACCTTTAGAGGAAGATTTCGGTAAGCTGTTTTCTGATAAATATTTGGAAGAACTTCGTGCCAATGAACCCTTTACACTGTCTGATTTTTTACTATCTATATCTTCGTTTAACGATTTTTTTGATTCAGCCTTTGCAGAGCTCACAGAATTTGTAACGCTCATATTTCTTTCTGATTCGTCCACTGACATATCTTGTTTTAGAGGTTCCATTTCTGTTTTATAAAACAAATCTTCGTTTATAGAAGATTCAGGTCTTACTATCGAAGGTAGACCTCTAGCATCTGCAATATTTAAATGAACACTTTTTTCTGTTTTAATTCTAGATACAGATTTATCCACAACTTCCTTTGCCAATTCTTTTGATTCAATATTTTCGGAATTACTTGAACCCTCAGCGCTGGAGGTTTCTTCTGCTTCTTCAGCAAAATTATTCAAACTTCTTGCAACTGATTTTTGCGAAGCAATCTTTGCAGAATGAATAGAATTGGCAACAGTCATGTTTTTTTCTGGTTCATCCATTAATTCTCCTTGTTCTTCAGGAATAACTTCACAAGCAGTACCAGAAAAAGTATTTAAACTTCTAGCGGCTGAGTATTGCCGTATTGAAGATTGAGGTCTACTATTGAGTGAAGAAGCTTGTCTAGCATTAGAGGAACTATGTGGCAACAGTTTTGACGCATTAGTCGATGTTTTACTGTTTATATCTTCCGTGATTGTCCTATTTGAGTTAAACCTTGCAGAATGTATTGAAGTAGTAGCGTTCATATCTTCTTCCATTTCTTCCATTTGACTTTCTTTAATAATTTCTCTAGAATTGCCAATTGAAGTATCAGAAATATTAGCTTCTGAACCTTTTACAAGATTGACTTCTGTACAAGCTCTAGAAAAATGCGAAAAACTCTTTACGCTTTTTTCTGATTTTTTGTTCACAGGATCTTCCTGCATATTTCTGGATGCAGATTTTTGTGGTTGCGATAAATTCGATTTAGTCTTACTAGATTCCGTTTTCACTCTACTTGAAGTGGAATTATTTGATTTAGAAACGGCTGTAAATCGTTCAGATGAATTGCTTGAATTTGATCCAGACTTATTACTTTTTGATCTAAGGCTACTCATAGTAGAAGAATTGCCTCCTAAGTACTTTTGGGATGCATTTCTTGATGAACTCCGTACCTGAGTATTAGGTAAACTGTTGGCTGTTCTATTATTTAAAATTTTTATTGGTTTCTTTGAAGCATTAGCTACCATCTCTTCGGCTAATGCGTATATACTATCCAGTGATTCCTCAATTGGCCTTGGACTTTTATGTTGATTACTTTTGGATGAATTAGTAACTCCTAACGCACCATTGTTGGATTTTTGGGGACTTAGGTCTCTTTTTGGACTTATGGTATTTCCATCTGATCTACTTTGGCTATTTTTAGAAACAGATCTGCTTGGAGCTACACTATTTGATTTTATATTGCTACGTTGTGCAGAATTGATCGATCTAGATCGATTAGCGCTTTCATCTGAAGCAGAATTGCTACTAAAAGCATCTTTTTCATTTAGCGGACGAAGCACTAAAGCTCCTATTACGGTATTAGGTCTTTCATTACTTTCTTTATTTATACTTCCTTGGTTGGAACTTGAAAGGGCGATGATTTTCCGTGATCTTTCTGTATTATTTAACGAATCAATAGATCTGTCGAGAGATGATTTTTGATTATTAGTTATTGAAGAATTGCATGGACTTTTCTCTAAAATTTCATGTCTTGTAGACATTTTCTTACAGCACATTCGGCATAACGAACTACAAAACGGTTCTTTATTGTTGTATTTTTGGTTTAAAGAACTTTTTGTATCTGTTTCAGGTTTCTGCAGAGACAAAGAAGCAACAGAGCTTATTTTGGACAAGTTATCACTTGATTTGCTATGAAAAGATTCTTCAGAACTGTGTTTTGCACTTAGAGTGCCGCTTAAGAAACTATCTCGAAATGCTGTAATTGTGTCTAAGTTTCGTAAACTCAGAGCTCTTTTAGCTCCACTTCCAATTTGATGCATGTTTTCTTCTACTGTCAAGAAAGCACTGCTTGAGTCGCGATATTTTCCTTCATTACTTGAATTATCTGATACTTCCTGTATTGAGACTTCGACATCTGGAGCAAACTAAAATATACAAAGTATACGAATATAGAAAATGGTTTCAGATGTATTTTACTTTGATTTGTCTAGAGTCATGATTTGTCAACAGTCATTCTGATTTTTATAGCAGTACTAAGGAGAAACGGATTTTAAGTAGAAACTGTTATGTCAATATATTTATGAACATTTTTTTGGTGTTCCAAGTCCTGCTATAAAAACCTGAACGCCCTCAATTATATATAATTTTTTAGTGAAATATCTTTAAATTTAATTTGTTAATTTTTATCAGTTACTTGACTATTTAATATTATTTATACCAAACGATCCAAAATGAATGAAATAGTAGGCTATTGCTATACTACGAACCAAAAAGTAAATAATACAATTTTTTCTAATATTTTAATTAGTCTTTCATATTAATGAGATTAATCAGAACAAGATGAGAAAATAAATAGATTTAATCTAAAGGTAAATTTAATTATTAAATGTTTCTCAAAATAAATAAAAAAATATAGGTTAGGTTACATGCTCGTATTCAATTTTGATAATATCACGCATATTAAGGTATCATAAACTAGTTTTATTCCAAAAAATGTTTGTTAGATGGTACCAAGTTGTATTAGAAAATTTTTTTTTTCCTTGAAAAACTTCAAAAAAAAATTAAAAAAGAAAAATTAAAGCCAACGAATTAATATTAATTGATGTGACTTGCTAAATATTTTTGATCAATTACGTGATCACCAACCCTAAATTCAGGGATAGAAGGTAATGAAAAAGGAAACGATCTAGCTAGAAAAGGAGCGAAGTTTTCTGGAAAACTCCATCGGTAGCCTGGAATCGGAATCCTACAACGGTCTAACACACGCGCAGAAATTTCTCAGAACTTGCAACCGAGAAAAATCAAAGATTGTCCTTGATTTAAGTAAGAACAATCTCCGGATTGTCACAGGATTTTTAACAGGACACTGGCTACTCAATGAAGACCGCGGTAGATTAAACTAAGAAACATCAGAGAATGTAGATTCTGTGAGTCAAATGGGGAAACACCAGAATAGTACCATAAATTTTGGTATGACGGATATCGGTGATGGAGAACTAACCTCTGTAAAACTTTCTCAGATACTGGCTTTTGTCAATGCCCTAAGACTGTATGATGAGTTATAACTGAAGAAAGGGAGACACAATAGATCTATAAGGTCGCGGTGATTAACTTTCCCCTCCCATACAATTTACAACCTTAAAGTCTCTAAAACTGAGTTGTCAACTCTTTCAGTCATTGTGCATAGCTTCGTATAACGCTAAGCATTTTAAACTATATTTATTAAATTTTAAATAATCATACCTGTAAACTCTGAACTTTAGAACCAATCATTGCAGCAGACTTCGGATTTTCCCATTTTTCATTATCGTTCCACATAATATTTATACCCGAATACTCGACTGTTTCAGTTCCGCAACTGGAACTTTTTAAATTACCATCAGACTGAATTGTTTCTTTCTCAATTGTTATTCTCACTGCTGAATTGGACTCAGTATTATCTGGTTCAGACACTTTACCTTTAAAACCAAGAAGCGAGTTCTTAGAAAAAAAGTTACTTGGGTTGTTTTTAGCACTTGCTGTACTACTCGTTGTTTTGGGTACAGAATTAGATGAATTATTATTATTATTAGAAACTATTGAATCCTGGTAGCAATTATCTTTTACATTTGAACTGTTTTTAACAGCTGATGAACTGTCTAATACTTTAATATTAGAATTCGTTAAATCTTTATTTAATTTTAAATTTTCGGAGTTACTAACTTTAGGAGGAATAGAAATATGAGAACAATTATATTCAGATTTTGAATTGTTATTTCTAACATTCGACGAACTGGCTGGAATTTTGGCTTTCGAATTGCTAGGATCATTTCGAATATTGAAGGAATTATTGGTAATTTTCACTTCTGAACTAAATACGTTATTATTATTATTATCTTCAACATCAACTGAACTGATTATCATCCTGGCTTCTGGATTGCTTGAATCAATTCGAATATTGGAAGAATTATTGGTAATCTCCAATTCTGAGTTGAATACGTTATTATCATTACTATCTTCAACATCAACTGAACTGATTATCATCCTGGCTTCTGAATTGCTTGGATCATTTCGAATATTGGATGAATTATTGGTAATTTTTATTTCTGAAGTAAATACGTCATTATCATTACTATCTTCAACATCAACTGAACTGATTATCATCCTGGCTTCTGAATTGCTTGGATCATTTCGAATATTGGATGAATTATTGGTAATTTTTATTTCTGAAGTAAATACGTCATTATCATTATTATCTTCAATATCGACTGAACTGATTATCTTTATGGCCTCTAAATTGCTTGGATCATTTCGAATATTGGATGGATTTTTGATAATATACATTTCTGAATTGTGTACGTTATTATCTTCAACATCGACCGAACTGATTATCTTTATGGCCTCTAAATTGCTTGGATCATTTCGAATATTGGATGAATTATTGGTAATCTTCACTTCTGAATTAAATACATCATTATCATTATTATCTTCAACATCATCTGAACTGATTATCTTTATGGCCTCTAAATTACTTGGATCATTTCGAATATTGGATGAATTATTGTTAATATACATTTCTGAATTGAATACATCATTATCATTATTATCTTCAACATTGACTGAACTGATTATCATTTCGACTTCTGAATTACTCGGATTAGTTTGGATATTGGATGAGCTATTGATAGGCCTGTTTCCTGAATTCAATACATTATTATCGGACACTTTTTCAAAATATTTTTCCACTGGGATTTCTGGAGTAAACAGTACACTCTTACAGCAAGAATTTTTTGTTTTTACGTAATTTTTTATATCTGATGTGCTTTTTAATCCTGAATGATCAAACTCTTTAAATGAGTTTGTTTTAATAACACTATCAGATGTTTTGCTGTCACACTCAGCAAACCTAACACTTGACATTTTAACCACCATATTAGATAAATTATCAACGGCATTTTCTAGAACATTTCTTTTTGTTCTAGAATACTCTTCCTCTCCAACTGGGTTCGTTTCAATAACATATTCAGATTTACTATTGCCATTCCCTTCAAACTTTACGCTAGACATTTTTATAACTCTATTTGAGAAATTATTATTGGATTGACAAGGACCACCATTTTCTAATTTCGAGTTACTTTTTTTAACACTAGAAGAACTCTTCATAATGAAAGAATTATTTTCTAACGCCCTTGAAGTAGATGGTACTACAAGTACTGAGGCATCGTTTTCAGGGTTATTACTAAAAGAATCTGTTTTAATAACGCTTCCAGAACTCTCCTGATTTTCGTTTATATCTTGGTTGATTGTAGGGTTAGAAGCGTCAGTTCTGGATGAAGGGCTTCGCATTATACTTATTTGAGCGTTAGAGCATAGTAAATGCGGTCCACTTGGTGTATAATAAAATTCATTAGTGTCTACTATGACATCTAAAAAATAAATAAAAACTGTATTATTATTTTTTTACAACCAAGGATTATCCCAAAGAATTAGAATGACTAAAAAATGTCTATTAGAATGGATGTAATAAGTGTCTTATCAAAAACACAAAGCATCAAAATAAGAGAACAAATATAAAAAACAAAGATCAAACAATAAATCAAGTATTGCAGGACATGTGCGGTCGAAGCAACACAACATAAAGTTGTTGGAACCCCGTGTTGTCCACTATGAATTTCATTGGAAAAAGCGTAAATTTAAAGAAGTAATTTTTATATGAACAATAATAACATCAATAGTAATCCAAGTATATACATTGAACGGCCAGTCTAACAAATGAAAAATTTTAGGACGTGTTAACAAACAAACATGAACTGTTTGAAGTGATTAAGAAGAAATAGACAGAAATAACAATTCTTACATCTGTTTTTCAAAGGCCAGATAGGGATCGGAAGGAAGAGAATGTCTTGGCTGACAAAATACCAAACAGTGAGCAGAGCTACATGATGTACAGTCGTTCATACACAACGCCAGGAATACAGATGCAATGGATAATGTTATCAGCATACATTAGTATTAGTGGAAAAGTTAGAAGAAATGCCATTCATAGAGCTAAATTCTCCAGCATTGTAAAAGCAATCACAAGAATGGCTACAAAAAGGTGGGTGGCCAACAAATGTCCAGAATGATGGAAAATTCACCAGGGCAAAGATAGGCAAAAAAGTTTATAGTAGAGCATTCACCAAAATTCACGGTATACCTGATAGCAAAGACAAAGACACAGTCAAAGCTGTAGTGTGTTTAGTTCGGATTTTCTCAAACAAAATAACTTCAGAAGACAAAAGAAGTCCAAGAGATCCACGCATCTTAACATAACATAAAATGAAAACTTGCCAATGTCTGGGGCATCTTGAAATCTATCCACACTTTCAAAATTCTCAACTATAACATTGATCAAATCGTTTATAGTTCTATATACGTCTTCTTCGATGCTTTCACATGAAAATTCGTGGACTGTCGTCGTATATACCTCCTCTTCGATATTTTGACATGATAATTCTTTAACTGCCGTATCTACATCTTCTTCACAATCTTGACATGACAGCTCTTTGACAGCAGGGCGGCATACGTTTTCATCCATATTTCTTGGAACAACGTTTGTCCTTGAATAATAATACCTTCTTTGATTTGTGCCTGAGGCCATTGTTCTTTTATAGCCTACAGAATGATATAAAAATAATTATATCATTAAATAAGTGCAAATACAGTACAATATAAATACATAAGTAAAATACGAGGTGCCTCCATTCTGACGAATTTATTTCGAAATTATAACATATTTATTTTTGCGTTTCGATTAGGTGATCAAAAAGTTTAGTATTCGTTGCTTTCTTATTTTGCCAGTGTTGAATAATATATAGCCAGACCATGTCCAAGCACAGATTTTTCACAAAAAAATATCAGGTAAGATGAAACTTGTTGACAAAAACAAAATAAAATTGTTGAATTTGTATTTATTATTTATTTTACTTTTCTGTTTCATTAATCATTATTCAGTGCCCTAAATCGTCGTCAAAATTGCAGATATTTTTCTATTTTCTTTACAGTATTTATTTAAGAAGGGATATAAAATTATCACTGCAAATATATTCAAAGAACAACATATTGTGTGTTATTATTTACCCACAATGTTGACATTTTCCCACAAACGTGTATACGCTGTATTGTATCCATTAACCGCTGATGTAAGCGCATCTTTGTTTAGCTTTTATTATAGATACACACTAGAGATGGGTAGGTCCGGATGGATACAAATCGACGGACCTCTACCCAGTGCCGGTACTGATGGATGTAGATTCTGCTGAATATCGAACCCTCTCCGCGGAACTGCATTGCTGACAGCCAACAGGCCACGTCGTCGGCAGATAACGAAAACATAACGATGCGCGATGCAGCGAAATAAATCAGTATTGTAGAATTTGTAGAATATTGGATTGAGGGAATTGTACCTGCTGCTGTGTTGTATTTATTGTTTTTTGAGTTTACTTTCGGTCTTCGTTCTAAATTATAGATTATGTCATGATTGTACAGGGTGTCTCACTAAGAATAGCTCTCGGCTGTATCTCAGAAAGTGTTAGTCGTAGGGCCTGCAGTAAAAAATATTTATAACTAAAAAGAACATGAGAAATTGCTCGAAATTATTTTAAAGTTTGTAGAACGGCCGCTAGAGGGCGCAACTGCTATGGAAAATAACAAAATAGAATTTTTAAGAAATTTTGCGTAGATAAGATCGTCCTATTGCTGCCAAACGTCACTAACTAACATTTTTCCGAACAACCAAATTCAATCACTAACTATGTTTTGAAGCGGAGAATCGATTGCAAAAGTCATTAACTACGATTTCTGGCTATTTATGTTTTATTTTAATACCGAATAGTTACTAACTATAACATCTTTTTGCAATGCAATTCATCTTTAGACGCATTTTTCTCGGAAGTAGTAAAAAGTAAGTTAGTGACTTTTGGCAGCAATGGGATGAGATGTACTATAAATAATAGCTTCATAATCTTCAGTAAATTTTGGACCTTTTTTGTTAGAACCATTCTCCCCTATCTGCTTAGATAAAGTGGTGGGGGAAGGTTAGATCTGTTTTTATTTAAATATTAATAACTCCGGACTGGATGATCAGAATCCACCAAACAAGGGTTTAATAAAAGAGCGTTTCTAACTCTATATTATACCATATAAACAATAAAAATGAGCTTTTGAACGTAGACGCTAGTGGTAGCTGTCTTACAATTTAACAAACATTGCGTTTTTTTCTTTCAAAAAAATAAATGCGATAGTATATGTAATTTTAGCTGATACTAAAGATAATAAAAACTTAAAAAGACAGCAAAAACCACATCATGATATTTTTTTTTAAACCAAAGTTAAATATATACATATTCAAAATTACAATAAATACGAAAAAATAAGCCCTTAACTACCTTATTTTTCTAACCCGGTATCACTAGCTCTCTTGATTATGACCATTCTAATCAAAAATAAGATAGAAAAGATTAATTTATTCAAAAATATCGACAATGGACCAGAATACCATAATATCTAATAATTAATATATCAATGACAGTGAACAAGAAACGACGCCCCTCAGTGAATTCATGGTAGGCTTTGGGAAAAAGTTGCTTTTAAAGATATAGTTTAAACGTCAAAATGTTATTATATCAACATTGTGATAGCCTCAGCAGTGTTTTTTTTATCTTTTGATTGCATTTCATTATTTTTATAGCAGTTGTGCCCTTTAACGGCCGTTCTACAAACTTGAAAATAATTTCCAGCAATTTCTCATAGCTTCTTTAGTTAACTATTTTTTCCGCAGCCCCTAGAGCTAATACTTTCCGAGATACAGCCGAGAGCTATTCTTAGTGGGACACCCTGTACAGTGTTCGTCAAAGAAATGCAGCAGACACGGACTACGTTTAATTTTTTTTTGTAAAAAAAGATGATATTTTTGTCTAAAATATTATCTGTTAAATGCCGATCATTTTGCTTCCTATATGGCAGTTTTGATGGAAAGATGTAATTGTGTCTCCACTATCTTTTGTTAGTATGTAAGGTTTGTAATGCTTTGCATCGTACTCATAAATTTGAACCTTAAGGTACATCTACGAGATAAATGGAACAGCTTTGATCAAGATCAAGTGATAAGGGTTTAACAAGCCAAGATATCAGATTTTTAAGATAAGGCAAAACGCAAACATCAGATTTCCCAAATGGACTACAATACTTTTGAACGCGGATTGCTTCATACAAAACAAAATTTAGTTAAATTAAAATTGAAGGTTATAATGACTTAGTTTTGGCAGAACTGGAACCTGGATATAGGTCCATGAAGCTTGACGTCACTCCGGACCCGACTCTTTTAAAATACGGGATCTACCCATCTCTAATTCACGCGTTTCGACAACCAAAACACATCTTGTTGGATTCGATTTAACATTTAATGGCGAACAAACATTTAATGAGAGTTGATTAAACCATTACCGCTGCATTTCGATGGTTGCGTTGCTTCTATTGTATAATCAGGTCCATACATTTTTATATAGTTCGGATCCTTTTCCAGGACTCTTACGTCGTTCGGTGCACCAGTGGGTACAAACATATCATTTGCGTCTAAAATTATAAAAGGAATGATTTGAAATGATAAAGTCTAGAATATGTTGTAGGCTTGATGCATTTCAACTAATGATGGAAATACCGGTTCCACATGAGTCGCGTTACAATAGCGACCGTTCCAGAAAAATACCGCGACAAAATACCGCGATTTTGTAACCGAGATTCCGACTTCCAAAGTATCGCGGTCTTCGCCAAAAATATATCTAACTTATCTATATTTCTAGATTAATGTAACTTTTATCCGCCACTCATTTTCCAAATATCGAGTTTATAATTGTGTATAGCCAATCTATCTAATTTTTAGAAAAACGATGACATTCCTGGTTATTTTCCATCAATTTTTGTTTAAATAAAATGAACGGCTCATATTTATGTGTATTGCAATATAATATATTTAATGTTAAAATCAAGAACAAAGTCCAAACCACTGTCAAAAAAATGTTTATTGGCCTAACCTAACCTTAAAAATAGATATAAACAATAAAACTTATATAAATGTATAAAAGCAAATAAAATATTTTTATTTTATTTTATTTGCTTTTGCGTTTCATCTTTCAAACAACGCTATTTTATATCATGCCTAGTACATACCAAAAATCGCTATTTCGAAAGTAACGTAGCGATGGGAGCATCAACGCCAGTAGTAACCGACCAAATCACGACAGGCAAAACCGGAACCCTAGAAGCGCTCCAGCGACTGCTGGAACGAAGTACGTCACCGCCGAGGTCGAACGTCGATAGCCAGTTACAGCAGGGACCAGTTACTTCTGTTCGCGACAGACGGAACTACGACTCTAGGAGTACGACTGCTGGAGCGAAGTTACGTCGCCGCCGAGGTCGAACGTCGATAATGAGTTACAGCAGGGACCAGTTACTTCTGTTCGCGACAGGCGGAACTACGGCTCTAGGAGCGCGACGGCTGGAGCGAACACGCGCGACGCTACGTACATACCAGTGCCTGTTACTACTGTTGGCGACCGACCAAATCGCGACGGCTGGAGCTAAACACGTCGCTATTAGTAGTGGGAACTATCGAATGAATACTATTGAAACATTCGATAGTTGCAATTCATTCGAATAATTCGATAGCTAGTAAGAAAACATTCGTCGAAAACTATTCGAATAAAAATTATCGAATAGATGCGTCATCTGCCTTGAAATATAGTATTCTAGTAATTCGGCAGCAAAAACCATTCATTTATAAAATTCATTCATTTATCAAATTCATTTATTCGTCAGGATCGATTTTAATAAAATATAAACTGGATTTTAGTTGTCGTCCGGCGACGTAGGTTTCTTTCCTAGAAACCCGATAGCGGTCGGTGACAATGCTATGAAAGAAGCCGGCATCTTTGATTTTTTGCGTAGTCAAATAAAGATAAGGACACATTATTTTTTTATTGAGGTGCTAGTATTTACACAGAAAATACATTAGGGCGCTGTTGCCATATATTCATATTAGTTGGTATTAGCAAAGAATATTATTCTTTAGCATTAGTTAGTTAGGGATAGTATGTCTATATGTTTTGCATTTTTTTATTAATATTCTGTTGTTACACTGCAATAATACTTTTTATTTTGGATGTAGGAAAATGATTTTTAATGTTTTTAAGCAAAGACTGATTTAATAAATAATAATAACAGTAATAATTTGTTATACCTATTAACAGCAAAATTTACAATCATTTAATAATATAAACATTTTTTTTAAGTAGTAGTAAAATATAAACAACAAATAGAAGTCAAAAGTATTTATATTAGATCCTATTTAAAAATAATATAGTCTCTAAATGTGGCAACGTTGGTTTATTAAATAATAATAATTACAGAACTAATTAGTTATATTAACAACAAATTTTAAAATCATGAAATATAAACATTTATTAATTTTCTAAGCATGCAGTGTAATGGAAGGAAAATATAAATAAAAAATTAGAAATCAAAATTATTTATATTACTTTTTATTACTTTATATTACTATTTAAAAATATTTACTTTTGCTGGCATTTACTTTAAAAAATAAATGAAATATTTCTTCGCAAAAAACTACATGTAAGAGAATTAGCATAAACAAAATACAAACATTGTTAACTTTTTTTTAAATTGGCACGTGTAAAACTTTCAATTTAATTTTCTCACCCCAAAATTTGAGTTCGATAACCATGTACTTAACCACATTACTTAAATATGATTATTAAGTTCAACTAATTCATATTATTAAAACATCTAAAATACAAATATGTATTTTTAAAATTAATTGTAAGTTCATCTCATCTCTCTTAAAAATTGCTACTTCTCAAAATTTCCCATTAAAAAAATGCAATCTAACCTAACCATAATATACCATATAAAATTAAATAATTGGAAGATCGGGCTACGGAAAATCACACAAATTTTCGAAAAAATTTTTACCACTTCGCACACAATCGTCAATTAAAAAAAACCTACTATTTTAGTGTTTTAATAAACGCAAAAATACCATAGTATTTACAAGGCGAAGTTATAAAAATTTGGAAGAACTAATAATGCACTGACGCACACAAAAATCAAACGAATACTAAATTTCATGTATCAAAAGCATTCGATAGACGTGGCGCAACGATAACCATTTAGTCGCAAGGCGAGGTTGTCACATATGCTTTAGTCAACAAATGAATGAATGATTTTATTCGAATAAAACCATTCGATAGTTGAAATCGTTCATTCAGCAACCATTCGATAGTCTAATTCATTCGATAGTTCCCATCGCTAGTCGCTATGCGGTTACTACGGTTCCAGCTAACTTCAAGAGCGATTATAAATAATTTATTTGCAAATTATAAATAATTTATAATTTTGTCGTCATTATGATCGTCGTTAATAAAATAAAAATAATATTGAATTCGTGGCTATGCAAGTATTAAATATTTGAGTATTTTAGTTTTTACTAGTGCAGTTGAAACTAAAACTATGATGTAACGCTATTTCGGGTAGTAAAAATTAAGTGAAAAAGAACCTGAACTGGGCGTCGCGTTGTATTGTAATTTCAAATGGTAATAAAATTGCCGAAAAAATATTAGCACGAAAGAAGGGCCAAAGTATGGGTGCAATAGCATTCAATACAACATTCCCAGAACAACATTTGATAGCTTCCCAACTTTTTCACACTGATTTGATCAAAAGCAAAAAATGGATTCAGGCAGTTCGACGAAACAAATGAAAAGGTACATTCAGGCTGAGAGCGTCGAGCGTCGCGTCGCGTTTGCTCGCACTTTTCGATTTGGGTGTCTATAAGATTCTTACTTGTAGAGAAGCTATATGCATTATTTTTTAACTGTTTTGAAGTGTTTTGAAGAACTTTTTGTCCGTACTTGTATTATACTACTAAAGAAAAAATATACATTTTCTCCATTTTTACCTAAAAAATGCTAAATTGCATATTTTTCCCTCAGTACTGTAATACAAGTACGAACAAAAAGTTATTACTCACAAAAATATATACAAGGAGGGGCCATACTAAAATCGAAATCTAATTTATTATGTCAAAAAACACCCAAACATCAAATTTTGTCATCTAAATATCGACATATAGTAAGTACAGAAATTATTTAAAAAAAAGCTTGATAAAAATGAAACTACTACCCCCTGTATCTCCGAAACGAAGCATTTTAGGACATACATTTATACGAACTTTTTTACTTATTTTTCTCTACAGAATATGTTGTCAAAGTTTCTCGATTACAATTCGCATCGCTTTTTTTAATGGCTGACAAAACAAAAATATGTCAACAAAAAATGATTAAAGTTTCATCTAGAACCCTGAAATTATTGCAATAAATTTTTGTTTAAATTAGCGTAAAAGTTGGTTACTCTAATTTCAATGTAAGCATTCAGAATGCTAAAATTAGTGGTAGTAATTTTCAATTAATAAAAAAAGATAACAAACTTTTAACTTTTTCCACCAGTTATACTTCAAAATTTGCGAGTGATGTCATTTTGGCGTTTAATTATCATCCGTCAAGAGAAATTGTGGTTAGAGATCAAAAATGTATTGCTTTAGAAGCTAATTATTAGGCTTTTTGTTGTGTTGCTAGAATGTTCCGTTAATTTTAATTGTAATGTATGTTTTAGACATTGTGAATGATCGTAAATTTCTAAGTATAAAGTGTAATTGAAACCACTAATTTGTTCCACTAATTTTGATTTTAAATAAGGCTCTATACTTTTCTGTGGGTCAACACATTGCGTTTTCGATCGACAGGGGCTCTGTGGTCTCGGTCTCCTTTGGCATTTAATGCTTGTGCTGCACTCCGACTTGCATTTGCAAATTTCGACCTCTTGTTCCCTGTTGACCACAGCACAACTTTGACGCATCGATTGCGGTTCGCCCATGTTGTTACAACCTCTTCGAATGTTAATTCTGAAAATCAGCATTTTTTAAGCATTTTAAGTTGCTAGTTGTGTAGTGATTACTCTCTCATGGGAAGTAAGCTCCTGAAAATTTTCACGTATTCCATTTCGATGAATTTTTCCTTGTTGGACACTGCCACGTATAGGCATCCATTCTGTATGTCTCTGGGACTGTAAATTATATCTCCGAACACCGTATATAAACTTAAAGAAGAAATCTTACTATAGTATTTATATTATTATCCATATACAAAACTAACTCATTAACCCTGATATTTAACTCATTAACCCTAATATTTGTTATTGAGTTTAACTTAAATGTTTCATTCTTGAAGATATGCCTTATACAGGGTGTTTCAAAAAACATGTGCCATCTCTCGTGGTAACGTAAAAATCAGATTGATTTTTCATTTCAACATAGATCCGGTTCTGCTTTGTTTCGTAGCTACAGGGTGTTAGGTTAGGTCAGGCAAGTACCTTTAGCGTTTCAAATGAGATTTTAAGAGTAAAAGTAAGTATAAATACGACATATTTTAAAGCTAATAATGTGTCGACATATTCACCAGTGACGTGCATATGGGTTATCACTGGAATATTTTTTTCTAAAAAAAGCATGTATGCCACTGACTTTTCTTTTCTCTTATTAGCGAAATAGTGTAAACAGTTTAATGCCGATTAAAAGTTGTCTCTTCATATTTTGTCGATTTCGGCCTCCTTGATGAGATAAACGCAATAATATTATTAGTTTGCCTTGATCCAAGTTTAATAGCAACCTTTAATAGCATTAACTTGCGAAAGTTTTAAAAAAGTACTCACTGATTCCTTATCAAAAAATATGAAAAAAAGTTTCTATAAACATGGGTATGAAAATGCATAGTTTTAGAGTTACAGGATGTTAAAACTTTTTAAAATTAGTTTTTTTGTAATTATCTTAAATATTACATTATTTTTTATTTGAAATTTCTGTAGGGTGGGCTATAGTATATATGCATGGTATACTATAGTCTATACCTAATAGTAATAATATTTAAAAATAAATTAGGTAAAATATATAATTTATTATTTTTATTTTAATGTTATTAATTGTGATTAATAAAAATGCGTTTATCTCATCAAGGAGGCCGAATTCGACAAAAGATCGAGAGGTAACTTTTAATTGGCATTAAACGGCCAATACAATTTTGATATCAAAAGAAAAAAGTCAGTGGGGCACATATTTTTTTTTTTTAAATATTCCATATGCACGTCCCTGATGAATTTATCGACACTTTTTTAGCATTAAAATATGTTGCACTTACAGTAAATTTTACCCTCAAAATTTCATTCAAATCACTAAAGGTACTTATTATAAAAAATACAAAGATTATTAAGACTTTAACACCCTGTAGCTACAAAACAAAGCAAAATTGGACTTATGTATGTTGATATGAAAAATAAATCCTATTTTTACATGAGGAATCTCCCCACGAGAGATGGCACATGTTTTCTGAAACACCTTGTATAAAGAAATATGTTCATGCTATTAATTGCTAATCTTTTTAATTTTATATGTTGTAGTAAATGACCTAAAAAATTACTTCTATGTATTTGTTTTTTAAGCGACTAGCGACAAATCATCTTTTCCATCACTAGTTGCGAAAAGAAAAATATTCTGACCGTAAAATAACTCGTCCATAACTACTTAATTGGAAAATGAAACATCTTGAAATGTCAAAATTAAAAAAAAGTATTTTTAAACTATTCAGTTTACTCTGGCAGCATTTGAAAAATTAAAAATAATAATAAGCTTTTAAAATAATATGTTACTCCTGAATCCTAATGGTACATTTTCGAACCACTTGACTATTATTTACCATACAGGATATGCAAAATCCGAACAAAAACAACCCAATTTATGAACGAGTTACTTTAAACGACCTACGATTGAACTCCTTCGGGTATATCCAGACTGCGAGCGATATAGTCCAGCAGAGTGTCCCAAGATTCCATATCCGATTCAGTCATGACTACTTTACATGGCATCTCCCTGGTTTTACCGTTGGCCATAACGAACAAAATCGTTCTGCGGCCTTTACTGCCGCAGCAGGATGTGGAGGGCTCGCAGTTTCTATTTTCCGTGTAGTATTTCTTCGGCTGAATGATTCCCTGCTTCTCCAAGGCGGTTTTATAGCTATAAATTGTATAAAGTTCGGAAATTATTTATATTTCTTTATAACTTAAATCACTTTCTATATAAGTCTCTAATACAAAATTATTATGGCGTTTTGCCTAGCATATTCTTTTCTCGATATACCTATTAGTTTCAAAACAACAGAGTATTAACAGCAATACTAAGTCCTGCAATAGTGCGTCGGGCATTTGTAGCTCCTAGAAAACAAACTTTTCTAAAATATAAAATAATTTTCTTCATTTTTTTTTAATTGATCACCCTGTATATATTTTTTCAATAGATAGAGAATTAAAAACATTTTTTGTATTTAGAATATTTAAAATTTTTCAACGATTTCACAGATATTTGCGGTTTTATATTTCATATGGCATTTTCCAGAGTAAATTTTTATCAAAGCTACCCAATAATAGTTCCCTTTTGTTTTACTGTTGAAAGAGCCATATGAAATAACACTGCGCGTGTCTGCGAAACCATTAAACATTTTGAAATACTTTAAATACAAAAAATGTTCATTTATTAACTCTCCATCTAATAAAAAAATAATATACAGGGTGTTCCATTAAAAAAAAACAAAGAAAAGTTATCTTATATTTTAGAAAGTTTGGCGTAGAATTCTGAACACCCAGCATGATTTAAGATTACGATATTTATAGCAAAGTAAGTATAGACTATCTAAAGTAAATACCTAATATAGTTTTGATTTCAGGACAGTTTTCTTGTATTTGTAATAATTTTTTTAAAGAAGGTCGATAATATCGAAAATATATATATATATTTTTTTATTTAATATTATCTCTGAAATTATCGAAATATATTTACTCATATCATTGAATTATGCAAAGGGTCCGAAAGGAAGCCAAAAATGCAATCATATACAGGGTGTTCCATTTAAATTAAATCATTCCGATCCACTCATCAATTACTTATCAAGTTTTTTGTACTAGGACGTGCAGATGCCGGGCTATTTCCGAACCCTGTCTTTACCATTAATCTATTAATTTCTGCAATAACGAACAAAAGGAAACTTTAAGTAGGAAAGGCTGCCGAAACATCAAGAAGGATCTTTAATATAATGTATATCCAAATAAAATAATAGAAAAAAACATCAAAAATGCAAAGCCATTCAACTCAGCTATTTCATATTAAGACTAACTTAATGAAGACAAGTTTTCAAAACCAAACTAGGGGAATTATACTAGCACAAGGACTTTATACATAAAAAAATCCTGAAGATATAGCAGCTTAGTAGATTTTAAAAAAGCATAATTGAAATAATTTTTATATAGGATCTAAGAAGAACTAGCCATATTTGATTTCGTATTAATAAATCTGATAAAAATATTTATCAATTATTAATCCTTACCAGTTTTTGGTCTGCTTAAATTTCTCTTTTCCAACAGCAACATATTTACAGTTTGGAACTAAGCCCTCAAACGAATTGATTGCTGATTTATTATCCAAATCTATCAAATATATAACAGCTCCAAAAGAAGGTCTTATTATATCAGTGATATAGGATAATATAGAGTTCCATGTTCTAAAAGTTATTCTACATTAAAATCATTATTTGAGACGGTTTATTTTGCTTACCTAAAATGATTTGGGTTGACGAAAATGTTGAATCCATCACTATAAAAATCACCGTTTTCCCAAACTAGAATATGTTTCGTTCTACCAAAAGGTTTACAACAGGTCTGGAAAATGGTGGTCATCGGTCGTTTTTAATATAAATATTACATAAAAATTTTGAAGAAAGTTGTAGAATTATGATGAAGAATTTTGACATGATAAATTTAGGGAGGTTAGTTACATGTTCTGTCAGTTTGGCAGAGTTTTTAGGTTGATATAGGTGCCGGGTGTTGCATCGTCGGACGGGACATAGGAAATCCCATGTAAATTTTAATGGGGTCAATTATTGGCTTCCCTAATTATTTTAGAGAATAATTCTATTTAGGTTTATTGAAGAGCACTAAAACCCACATTCAAAAGAATAACTTTAGATATTTTTGAGTAGCTCCTTTACGAGTTATCGCCGATTTCTTTTTAAATATTTCTGCTTTCTTATAGCCCTATATTTACTTATGAGCACCAGTCAAGGTAAAAAATAACTGTCAAATGAAGTTGTCATTTCAGAAACTTACCTATTTAGTGCTTTATTATTATTGAAAACTCATTCCTACATCGGAAATCTTAAAGATGTATTTATAAATACAAATTAATATGAATTAAAGTAAAATAAAGTAATCAATTACAAGGTTAATTATAGTATTATTACAATATTCAATAACTTATTAATTTAGGTAAATTGTTTTTAGGATTTAAGAAGATGTTCAAATATTCCTCCATCGACTGCTAGACAATAACCCAGGCCATAAAAAAATTCTCTTCTTACATTCGCTAGTTGGTAAACTGAAATTCTATTGCATTCGGCAGAAATAGCATTTTTTAACTCGTCTAGATTTGGGTATTTTTTATCCTTGTATATCCTGTTTTTTAAATGGCCCCAGAGAAAGAAATCATTGGCGAAATATCAGGAGACCTTGCTGGCCAATTTACTGTATGATTTAGGCCAATAACGTTTCCGTTAAAACTATTGTCTAAATATTCCCGAACAGCCACGGTACTATGTGCCGGGCAGCCATCCATTTGGTACCAAACTTCCTGATTTTCCCTAGCGGCATCATGTAAAGCAGGTAAAATATGATTTTCGAGTAGTTCCAAATAATATTCTGCATTTAAATTTCGCGTAAGAAATAATGGCCCGATAATATTGTGTCCGAATATCCCTGCCCAAACATTTACTTTCTGTGAACATTGCGTCCTTGTTTCGACAAACCTGTGTTGGTTTTTTTTGTTCCAATATCGATAATTTTGAACATTGGGTTCATTATTTAAGGTCAACGTGCGTTCGTCAATGAAACATATGTTTTTTAAAAATTCCCTATCCGTGTTTGCTCTTTCCGTCATATCAAAACAAAACGCCTGGCGCCGTATTTCGTCTCCATCTCGTAGCTCTTGGTGCTTTTCATATTTGAGGGAATAGTATTTATGTCTAGGGTTCCCAACCGTCCCGGTTTGGCCGGGATTAACCAGGAATCAGAAAGTTTGTCCCGGCGAAAGTTTTGCCTTGGCCGGCACCTAATGTTATGTTTTATGTTTAAAAATTAAAAAAGTGTGTACTACACACAATATATTTTAATTTCTAATATTTAATGTTTTGTTTCAATTATTTAAAAGCTTAAAAATAATTGTCCCGGAATCGCCGGTGCTCAAGTTGGGAACCCTATTTATGTCGTTTCAAAATTCGAAACGCTGTAGTGTGATCTATTCCTATTTCATCCTTAAGTTTCCTTGTGCTGATCTTTCCATCGTTCTCTTCCACGCACAATAAAACTTTCAAGTCGGTATCATTTCTTGCATTTTCTCTTTGTTCCTGCCTTGCTTTAGGGTACCTTTGGTCTCAAATCTCTGGATATTCCTTGCAATTGTAGATTTTCCAGGTATCGGTCTATTCGGATACAGAGCAACAAACATGTCCGACACCTTTTGATAACCATTTCCTTGATAATACCATTTAATCATCAATACTTTTTCTTCGGTAGTGTAATTCATGGCTAATATTTTCGATGTAGGTATGAGTTTTTAATAATAATAATAATAAAGCACTAAATAGATAAATTTCTGAAATGATAACTTCATTTGACAGTTATCTTTTATCTTGACAGGTGCTCATAAGTAAATACAGCGCCATAAGAAAGGAGAAATATTTAAAAAGAAATCGGCGATAACTCGTAAACGGGCTAATCAAAAATATCTAAAGTTATTCTTTTGAATGTGGGTTTTAGTGCTCTTCAATAAACCTAAATAGAATTATTCGCTAAAATAATTAAGGAAGCCAATAATTGACCCCATTAAAATTTACATGGGATTTCCTATGTCCCGCTCGACGATGCAACACCCGGTATATGTTTTAACATATTTAATAATAATTGTAAATGTTTGCAAATCTTTGTACCAGCTTAATGATTCGTATTCTATTAAAAACCATCTGAAATGCATCGATATTACTGGTTTCGTCCTTAAACCTTTGCCTGTATAGCGATATAAATGTTTTATTTGGGCTAAATCATCGACCAGGCACAGAACAGATTAAGTATTAACTTCAATCCGCTGTTTTAGGGGTACGTGAGCGTGCCCTAGACGATTCCCCTAATGTCTGTAGCGGTGAGCCTTTATGATTCCGTATTTTCTAACGTTTCTGTTGAAGATAAATGCTCCATGATCAGTGGCGTAGCTATCATAACTTAATACTTTTCCGTGTTAGGGGAATATAAAGTACTAAATTTTATCAAAGCCTTAAAAATAAGTACGAGTTTTGTTTTACAAATTTGAAATTAAATCTGCTATTTCTTTAGTTAAAGCTACTATTTTCGTTGCAATAAAATGGCAAAATCATTAAGTTGTCAGAACCAGCAACTTTTCGAACCATGAAAACCATTTACAGAAAGGAATATAAAAAATACATTCAGTGACTAGAACAGAAAAATATTGTAGCAAGGGATGTGATAAAACTGTTGTCTTGTAAATTTATTATACCGGATGCGTCTCGAAAGTGGCTCACCCCTATAACTTTTTTTATTTTTTCAGATAAAAAAAAAGAGATTTCATATGTTGGTATACGACATAAATTAGGTTTGATTGACGAATTCAATTGTTTTTGGTCACTTCCTGTTTCACAGGAAATGACTACATCTTTTGATTTTTAAATGGCACCCTCGGTATTTTTTTTTACTTTGTTCGATAGAAAATGACACTCTGAATAGAATGACATATCATATGTCAACTTTTGACATTTTTGCTTTAAAATAAATCGTATTTTAAATTTCACTAGAATCTAGACTAGATCTAGACTGCCATGGCTGTGCTAAAACACTAATTTTTAATCAAGAAAAAATGTTTTGATCGTCTAATGTTTTTCTTGTCTTGTCCTGCCTCGTTAAAAGATGCCCAAATCTTATTTTTAATCTTATCTCAATTTTTTCAAATGGAACGAGGCTGCCTCACTAGGATATTTTAAAAAAGCAATTATTTGCAAATAATTTGGTACCACACACTTAGTATTTCGAGTCAAGTTGTCGTTATGAACCGCATGTAACAATTTCAAATAAACCATATGCGAAAATATCATTCTATCCAGAGTGTCGTTTTCTATCGAATAAAGTAAAAATATGCGGGGTAAATACAGGGTTGTTCACCACATACGACACGGAGTATTGTAGCTAAACGATTAGATTTTAAGGTAAGTTTTAGGTTTGTTGAAGGACTATTAGAGCTACAATTTAAAAATATTTTTTAATAAAAAATATCAATGTTTTATTTTTTTAAATCGAACACCCTGTATATTATTACATTTTTAGTCTCTACGATTAAAATAAAGGTAAATTTGATTATGGTTTTTCACACTTAAACCTTACCGTTGTTGAAATATTTTCAATTGTGAAATTGCAGGAAAATTTTTAAGGCTTCATTTCTCCAAGGGTGTCAAAGTTTTTGTTACTAAATATTTACTTAAGTTTGTTTATTGATCAGTTATTGTGTTGCAATAATAAAAATATCACTACCTCATAGAGAGTGTCTAAAGTTAATTCCCGTTAATAATAACCCAAGGGAGTTGTGTAGACTCTATTTATTGTTAGCGTAACCAAAACGATGTAAGCTTATGTCAATTCATTAAGAAAGAAGAAAGAAATAAATAACTTTAAAAGAAAACCTTTAAAATATTATAATTAACATAAAGGGAGGCAAATTATCCGAAGATACGCCACTGTCTCTTATGCGGGAAAAGAGAAATATAAATGAAAAAGGTTAAAAGAGGAAACGAGCTAAGACGGGTTCAGGTGGGCTTAATACAACTTCCGAGATTAGTTCTGTGTAAGATTATTGCGAGGGAATCTCCCAAATGAGCTAGAAAAGAGATAAAGAAGTATAATGATTAGTTTTGAAAAGGGTTCTTCCTTGGAAATTAATCTTTACAAATCTGAAAATGGCGTATTCTTCTAAATTTACATAGAGTGTCCAAAGAAATCGCTGCGTAACTTCTTGGCATCTTTATCTAAAGCAAGAATATTAATTTGTAGTGATCAAGAGGACATACATATTAGGGTGTACCAAAAAAAAATCTGTTTAGTTACCTCAAAAATATCGTTTAGGATAATGAAAAAAAAAATTGGTAAAGTTTGAGCTTATAATATTAATATTAAGAGGTGTCTCATCGTGATTTTCTATTTCCCATTTAAATAACACGGGGAAACATTTTTTTTTCTTTAGGATTTTATTGCGTTCTAACACCTCAGCGTTTTGTAAAAATCAGTACATATTCTTGTAGAAAATTGAACAGTCTTCAAAAAAGGGCTGACATAAATTTTTATTTAATCTACTCGTTTGAAAGCTATTGATAGTTAAATTTCAACTTCAAATCGTATATGAAAACTTCCACAAATCACGAAATAATGGCTAAAACACCTAAAATGTCATATTTTATGTTTTTGAGCCATTTGGTTAAAAAATTGTGGAGGGTATCATCCCAGATAACATATATCTGATGATGCTAGCTTTTAATAAGGTGCTTGAGAAAGAGTTGGAACAATTTGAATTGATTGTAAATATGAAAAAGACCCAATAGATGTCTGTCGACGATCATAGTGATTTGGATATTGGTATGGGCAAAACAATAAAACACTGCTCCAAACAGGACAGGGAAAAGAATAACTAGGGAACTAAACTCCCTTCTT